AAAAACCCCCGACACAAAATAAAATAAACTCTGAAATAAAAACTAACAAATAATAATGGCACTGAAAAATCTGACTTACGCGGCACCCCGACGCGACATTATAGCGCCATTATTATTTGTTAGTTTTTAGAGTATTTTCTTGTATCGGGGGTTTTTTAAATTTAAAATTTTGTTTATTATGGTCGGATGAGAAGTTTGAAATTAATTTGATCCGTATCTAAAAATCTTAACACACACAATTACATGTTAGCGCCATCTATGAGCGCAAGAAATCAACGCATGACGTCAAAGGCTCGGAACCAGAGTGAAGATCGCAGCTAACTTCGCGTCGCGCGGCCCTTCTGTCAACGTGAAATGGAACGTTTTTAGGGTTCCGTAGCCAAATGGCAAAAAACGGAACCCTTATAGATTCGTCAAGGATTCGTCATGTCTGTCCGTCTGTCCGTCCATATGTCACAGCCATTTTTTTCCGAAACTATAAGAGCTATACCGTTGAAACTTGGTAGGTAGATGTATTCTGTGAACAGCATTAAGATTTTGATGCAAAAATAAAAAAATAATAATAACTATTGGGGGATCCCCATACTTAGAACTGAAACTCAAAAATTTTTTTTTCATCAAACGCATACGTGTGGGGTATCTATGGATATTTCTTCAAAAATGATATCGAGGTTTCTAAAATATTTTTTTCTAAACCGAATAGTTTGCGTGACAGACGCTTTCAAAGTGGAAAAAAGTTGCTCCCCCCCCCCCTCTAACTTTTAAAATAAGAAAATGAAAAATCTAAAAAAAACTAAATCTAAAAATCTAAAAAACTACCAACAAAATTGTTTTGAACGAGATCTAGTGAGTAGTTTTTTTTAATACCTCGTAAATCGTAAACCGCTTATTACCGCGTTATCTTTCATACAAATAACTTAAATTAAAAAAATAAAAATTAATTTCATAAATCAATGGTACGGAACCCTTTGTGCGTGAGTCCGACACGCACTTCACCGGTTTTTTTTCTCACCATTTTGATCTTGTTGCAGTTTGTAAACCTACTACGAAAAACTTAAAATCAAATAATAAATTGTCATTGAAGAGACCTTTACTCCAAATATACTCGAAAGTCTGAGCTCCAAACAACGCACAGATGAGGGTACATTTTTTTTTTTAAGTACACTGTGCACTGCAATGCCGGTTTTATTATGAATGTGTCAGTCAGTATTCACTTTGGCCCTGTTTAATTGATTAGTAAGTTTCGTAACCTAGTGTTTGCAACAGTGTAATATACTTAGGTACCTATCTAGGGGCACGGTCAAATCGAGCGCGTTTGTTATTGAGGATTCTTATTTATTTTATTGGTAATCACTGTAATTTGGATTTTATTAGCCTCTAATTAAAAAAAGGGTGAAAGAGGTGATTTCTTTTTTTTTTCTTTTTTGTGAAAATGTTAAAATTTCTAAAAAACTGACTAATTTGTAAAAATAAAGACGTTCCTATATTTACAGAACTTGACTGTGTGCTCCGCAAAATGAAAATTTTGCTATTACTCCCGGCTGTGCTGCTGCAAATGCTAGCTATTGCAATACCGTTTCTAATGTAAGTTTTTTGCAGTCATTATACTTTGTACCATTTATTCTTCCATAGAAACTCAACCCTCTGTTTATACATTTTGTTTGCCACAGACCCAGTTTCTTTGGCCGAGCCTTAGCGAGGGCGACTTCAATTTATCAACGCTTGCCAAGGTAAGGAGGTTTTTTTAAAGCCACCTATCTCATAATTACCTACTATTATTTGAATCTCAATCATTTAAAAAATCTGGGATAGCATACTGATTTACAATTTCTGTTGTTTTAGACTCTGGACTTCTCGACGACATTAGCGGCACCAGGTTTGGGGCCTATTTTGCCTCCAAATGTCGCCCATATTGTCGTGTTGTCGGCCGTTTGGTGTAGTGGTTCGAAACGGACTACTATTCCGGAGGTTGCGGGTTCGATTCCCGCACAGTACAAACATTTGTGTGCATGAACATATTTGTTTGTATTGGACTGGGTGTTTTCTATGTATAATAAGTATGTATTTACAAAAAAAAAAAAGTATTTAAGTATGTTTATATCCGTTCTCTAGTACCCATAGTACAAGCTTTGCTTAGTTTGGGACTAGAAGCGCAGTGTAAAATGTCCAAGGATATTTTTATATTATTATTAGATGTACGTTTCAAAATAAAAGTGATTTTTCTCTTTTTACATAACAAGTGTAATTAATTGCATTGTTTTTCAACACTTGTGTGTAATAACCAACTAACCTGATTTTAACATTATTTTCAGTTATTTCTTCGGCCGATGGTCTGAAGCCGGTGGTGTCTCGCAAACGCAGTCGCACCGCGTTCTCTCAAGAGTCGTGACAGAACCAACAGTATCTTACCAGGGAAGAGCGGAATATGCTAGAGCAGCGGCTGACGGTCAACAAGCAAGCCAGTAAGGGCTGGTTCCAAGACCTCCGCCTGCGTTTTAAAAAGGAAATGGAGGAGGAGGTTGGAACCACCTCCAAATCTCCATGTTCGCCTACACGGAGTGGCTCATGGGACGTGTGGGCGAAGATGGGATTGTAACACTTGACCAGCTGGCAACGAGCGAGCTGGTCAATGCAATCGATAGGTGCTTGCTAACTGAATCTTAATTTCGTTGACTTATGGCGAGTAGACAGTAGGCTACACTGGAGTTACAGCGCGGCGGTGGGAATTAGAGGTCTGGTTACACTGGAGTTGCAGCTGAACGAGAGGTGGGAATAGTCCCGTAAATTTGTGCGAGTCAAAAAGAGTTGTGCTGATCACCGTCGATCATACTGACAGCGACTCAGATGTTTAATTTTACGAGCCGATTTTTCCACCAGAGATTGGCGCATTCACAGTTTCAATATTGCCATTGTTACGTAATTTTGTAAATATTTAAATAATGATTCTGGTTTTGTTGTTGTTATTATTTTGTATTTTCTTAGGATAATCATTTGAGTTTTGTGTCTTCTAGTAGATAATAGTTTGAAGACAAGTACGTAATAAGCGACCTGGTCAATGCAATCGATAGGTGCTTGCTGCTAACTGATCTTAATTTGGTCGACTTATGCGAGTCGACAGTAGATCCTAGCTACACTGCAATGGGGATGTTGCCTGGGTCAAAAAGCAAGAGTTTTAATTAGTCCGTCAGTTAACTTATCAAAAAATACTCTACACGTATTTTTCACTTTTTCAAACTAATGAAAATTTAAAGAGATAAAGCGCCCCAAAGTTCATAAGAAGAGGCCCGTGACGTCAACGCTTGCTTAAAAATGCCGCACGTTGTGACGTCGTGCGCAACTTCAACGCACCATAACTATGTAATTATTTGTTAGATTGACAAATAAAATTATACGTGTCCAATATTTTTTGATATTAAACATTACGGACTAAAAAAATTTTTTTAGGCAACTAGCCTATTGCAGCAGTGGGAATGGGAGGTGGGAATAGTCCCGTAAAGTGCGAATCAGAAAGGTTGTGCTGTGCTGTCGATCTTACTGACGGCGACTCGGACATTTAATTTTACGAGCCGTCTTCTCCATCAGAGGTTGACGCATTCACAGTTTTAGGTCATTCTTTAAATGACCTTAAACTAGCAATTTTGCCATTGTTATGTTAATTTGTATTTATTATTGATTCTGGATTTGTTAATTATTTGTGTTTTTTTTGTCTTCCGGTAGTTATTTATGTATTTAGTCAGTAAGTCAAGTTATTTTTTTGTTCTTTTTCTGTGTGTGGTTTATAATTAAGTGTTAATATTATTGTATAAAGTTTAAAAGATAAGTGTTTTTACTTTGATAATTAATTTATTTTTTATTTTTAGTATGATGGATTTGTACATATGTAATTATTTTTTACAAATATTTTTTGATTGCAATACATTTATGTACTTATCATATAACTATTTTGTTTCATTCATTATTCAGCTTTTGTATGCAAATGGAAAAGTAAAAAAGTATTAAGAATATTGTATTTCAAACATTTTATTATTATTACAAGCACCTACTCGATTGTTAGGTATAATTGAATAAATCATTAAAACGTATAATAATCTTAATGTATTGGCAGTACAATAATATTTTTTTATCGATAGTATTCTCCGTTCCGCAGTATTATTTACTTGTGTAACATACAACGTTCAAAACATTAAGTATTGGTGAAAAAGTAGTCTTGCATTTTTGGAAGGCACTAAAGCCGATTACGAGTTGGTGAAAACAGGAACCTAGTCTCTTATCTCCCCTTTTTCCAATTATTAGTACTTAAGTATTATACATAATCTCTTCTAAGATGACGATAAGCTATTGTATCGCTATATTTGTTCATGTTTTCAATGTGTTTCCATGAAAACAATGAAAAGGATTAAAAATGATAATTTTCTCTTGCTCGCAACTTCATAACGAATGTTTATGATAGTTTAACTTAGGTATCAAGGCAGGTGTACCTAACCTAAACTTTACTAGGTATTATATGTATTATTAAGATCTCATTGTACGAAGGTTAGCATTACGGTGAGATTAACCACTAATTGCAATAAGCAATTTGAATTTGAAGCTTTATTTCTGGTTTTAAACACCTGAAAGAGGGCTTAAATTTTATTTCGGCCCTAAGCCACTACATAATGGATTCAAAATATATTCAGCAGTTTTGCTTAACTTTACTTTTCCCACCTCTTTCTTTATTATTTATTAACTTCAAAATCGGCATCGCAAAGCTATTTGCAAAAGTTCGCATACAAGAAGATTTGGTAGGTATAGACGTGTTTATAAAAAAAATATCATTTTTTACTGATGATTCATCACCATTCAAGACACCAACAAAGTGATTAGATAAGGACCTCCTTACAAAATGCATTTATTGTTTACCAGAATCGCCTAGAAAAATGGTATTTTTGTTAAAAAGGTGTAATCAGGAAAAGAGTTCATTAAGGATCACTTACCTAAGCTGCACCATTTACAATACAGTGAAACCGGATTCATTACTTCATTTCTGTCATTCACTTAGCACGTTACATTCTCGCATAAGTATTTGTTGAACCTTATTAATACTTATACCCTGAAGTGAACAAGACGTAGTGTGTGCAGGCCCCCCCACTAGGTGGATCGACGATCGGAAGGTCGTGGGAGGTGCCTGGGTGCAGGCGGCCCAGGACCGGCCGTTGTTGAAATCCTTGGGGGAGGTCTTTGTCCAGCAGTGGACGTTTTTCAGCATTTTGCTGAAACGATAGTCTGAAGGCCTGACATGAATCCATTCTTCAATGACATGTCTGACGAGACCGAGGGTAATTTCGTAGAAATGGAGGAGGAGGTAAGTTTTACTGTTTTTAACCACAATCTTGGCCCGCTGGAAAGTGATGATTAGGCTCAGCGTTGCCGCCAAATTCGGAACGTCCCGATTTTTAAATCAAATTTAAATGTCCCGCGCGGGACAGGCTCGGTCCCGCTTTTCGGAGAGACACTAAACTTACTTCACCAGACTATTGTTTGAAACGCCATATTATTCTAAAGAATAAAACTTTTCTTTTTTTATTCTAGAGACGAATTTAACGATAGGTAGAGTAAAACTGATTTAAAATATTATTTTTTTGTTAAAATACATTTTCTATGGCTACCTACTTTTGCTATCTATTGCGTAAAATTACGTAAACGTAATTTTAATTCAAATAAATATTTGAAAACCTTTGATTAAATAGGTTTTTTTACTATGTCCCGCTTCTGACGGAAGAATCCCGTTATTTTCACTTAAAAAGTACCAAAGTCCCGACTTGGCGAAAAAAAAAACTGTCAACGCTGATTAGGCTGCAGATGGGAGCCGGCTCCGCTAAATACCTAATATAATATGGTGGTTTCTACTTTTTCGTGTGTGAGTATTTGAAATTATAATTTATCATTACAGGCGTGGCGATATGCCGTGAAAAAAAGAAGTTCTTCCAAAAACCACCAGAACCATCAAAACCACCAAAAAGACCAAAAACATCAAAACCACCAAAATGACCAAAATCATCAAATTATAAAGGTAACTGAATTTCTTGCGCAGCTTCTACTTAACACTGGTCCATTTATTGTCCTGAGCAGTGGTAATAAATTGTAATTACTGAGACGTGTAAACGTACTTTGTAAAGGCTTATTTGCAGTAATTAAAATATTTTATGACTTGTATTAACCTCCATTATCAATGCTGTTCACTGTACTTTACTTATTTTTATAGACCCAGCCGACTCAGCAGAGTGTTCCTAAACCAGTTCACACAAACCCTACTGGTGCTGGTGACAATTGGAATGCTCATCTCTTGCGGACACTTCCACCAGCTCATCCAGCACAAGTGCAAGTAAGGAATTAGGAAAGTTTTCTTACTTATCTTTATTTTGATTTAATAATAGAATGTTACTCATGGTACGTTTCACATGTTTCAGATCCCAAATACGTCTCCAAACTTACAATCTACTATAAGGAGAATTGCAACACATGATCATGACCATTACGCATGTATGTATTTCTTTTGTAATTTTGAAATAACTATATTTCTTTTTATTATATTGCTTATACGAGTAGATACTCGATGGATATAATTATATTTTTCCACGTCTGGAAGTGTAAATATAATTAGATCTTTTTAATCCTTTTCCAGTTATTCCTACCGCTGTTGGCCTCAAGGCGGTAATGACCCGCAAACGAAGACGTACAGCATTCAACACTGAACAGGTGGCGATTCTAGAAGAAGTGTTTCGAGGCCGCCCCTACGTCATCAGGGAGGAACGAAGCAGACTGGGAAAGAAGCTGGGCATCAGTGAGGACGCCATCAAAGTGTGGTTCCAAAACCGACGTCTGAAAGAAAAAAAAGAAAGAGAGGAGTTAGAATTAGAGCTCCTCCAAGAATACACGAGGAATAACCCATTTCCTCACACAGAGGCGTTGCTGCAGCATCCAGACCAAAATGGTTTTGTAACACTAAATCAGGAATCGATAGATGAGCTAGTAAACGCCATTGATGCGTGTCTGCCTAAAAACCTAGATTTGACTAAATTAAGCAGCAGTTTGGGCATGACAGTGGACCCACAACATAGTAGTCCACGCGTGTCAATTCCTCCTCAAGGGTCTCCACTAATGTCAAGTATACTCAAGAATGGTCTCATTTACCAATGATCCGTAGGTAAATTGATTCATGACATTCGCATAGTCTTAGGGTTTAGGCCTGGAATATTAGGTTTATATTGGAAAATTATATTATTGATTTTGGAGCGAAGGCGGAAGTCAATAGCGATGTCTAATATGAACTTGTCTTTCTATGAGTAGGCATTGTTACATCAAGCACTTTTAGTATTACTGAATTGTATTAAACTATTAGAGATAACCATGATAGATCCTTAAAATTATTAAAATATCGTCGTTTCAACCAAAACATGTCCACTGCTAAACAAAGGCCTCCCCCGAGGATTTCCACAAAAACTGGTGGTACGCTGCCCTTCCAGATGCTTGCTTCCATCAATTTTTGAAAAAGTTTTGAAAAATTACCATAATACTCGTAATACTAATTGATGTTTAGTTTTTATAAGGTAAATCGTGTTTTATTTTATACCCTGCACAAATGAAAAAATAAATGTAATACCATAAACCGTGTGTGTAGAATGTAGATAAAAAATGCCGTTCTGGCAGACTCATGATTTTTTTTAAATGTTTATGTTGAGATATTTGTATCGTATGTCCTTTTAATATTATGACTTTATACTTTATAATTTTATTGTTGATAAATAAAATAAGTGTTCAAATTAATTATTTTTGTATCATTATTTCAATATTAATCGACTTAATCGAACGAATTAAAAGCCGACATCACATTAGACACACAATTGAATAATCGCAACATTGTTTAGCTATTAACCATCATCATCATTTGCAAATTATAAGTTATAAATTAATCATAATTTGTAAATAAATATAAATTGTCTCGCATCAATGGCTTTTTCAGTTTGGTCGTAGAAAATTGCGAGAAACTGTTCTACTCTCTCAAAACTTAATAAAAGTAACTTAAATCATTGCTTCTGGTAGCAAAATAGGAAGTAGGAAATACTTAGGGCAGTGAAAATGTAACATACTACCCGTTCGCGCTAAGTTTGCCGGTCCGTGGAATTCGCGTCCCATCCTCAAACCGCGATTAAACGCAATTAGTTAGTGATTAAACGCAATCAAGTGTTTTATTTTACGCAAATACACAATTTTTATAAATATTAATAAATAAAAAATATTTTTAATATAGTTTGCTATAGTTATAGACGCTTTCCTTCGAGTGACGTCATATCGCCAGCGGCAAACTTATCGCGAACGGATAGTATTATTTTCGTGAAAAATAATGGAGATTATTTAATTTATTGTTCTTGTCCTATTTTTATAGGCTTTTTAAAATAATATTTTATAAATAATCTCTGTCTATCAAATCTGCGTATAGTCCGATTTTTAATTCAACGGAATTCTGACAGCTGTCATTTTTTGACAATTCAGATGTAATAAGCCTTTTTTGCTTTGAATTATTAATAAATAATATGAAATGAAATTTCATCAAGTACAATTTACAAGAATGAACTATTTTTTGTTTTGTAAATTCAATGAACACTAATTATTATGTACATTTTAGAGATTAAATAGAAAAAAACGTGTTTTTAACGTAGTAAAACAACATATTATCTTAAACGAAAATATGTATTGATCATCAATCATCATTATCGTCATCATAATCAACTTGGATTATAAAATTGGCATCTTGTTAAGTTGATTATTTTATGAAGCTAAGATTTTATTAACAAAAGGATTTTCATAAAAAAGGTTTGTAACCCATGGATTATTGGCCAGGGAGACCAGTAATAGAAAAATAATTTCCCAATTTTTTTTGTAACTTCAAAAGTATGATAATAAAAATTCAATTAACCATTTTGAAATGATCGGTACATTTTTAAGCCTTAGTTTTTCAAGTGAAACCTTAAATTCAAGAAAGGATTATTTTTTAATTCATGAAAATGCTCTCCATTCTTAGTGGGAATGTTTCAGTGTTGACAACACTTCTGAAATGTCAAAATTCCGTCGAATTAAAAATCAGAGTTTAGTTAGTTAGTTAGACTAACGCCCGTATTCACAAACGATGCTTGCTTATGTGAATCACCAAATCGAACGCACAGCTTTGAATGGAGCTCTGTGATTGGTTCGTGTGTCACCCTGTGCGTCCACGCGCACTGGGGACCAAGTAGATAATGTTTGTGAATACGGGCGTAAATCTCTAGTATTTTAGTGACAAAACAGCTGGATCAACTTTTTTTTAATACGACTGCCAACCAATCCCATATTTTATTGCTGCATTATTTCCCGAGGCGGTTGTGTCCACAGCAGCGTTGCCAGCCAATTTTGGCAGGACGTCCCGATTTTTAAATCAAATTTAAATATCCCGCGCGGGACAGGCTCGGTCCCGCTTTTCGGAGAGAGACACTGACTTCACCAGACTATTGTTTGAAAACTTTTTAATTTCGATTTTTTGTTTTTTTTTCTTTTTTTATTCTAAAGACGAATTTAACGATAGAGTAAATCTGATTTAAAATATTTTTTTTTTGTTAAAATACATTTACTATGGCTACTTTTACTATCTATTGTCACGGAAACGTAATTTTAAGTCAAATAAAAAGATAAATATTTGAAAACCTTTGATTATATACGTTTTTTTACTATGTCCCGCTTCTGACGGAAGAATCCCGCTATTTTCACTCAAAAAGTACCAAAGTCCCGACTTGGCGAAAAAAAAAACTGGCAACGCTGGTCCACAGTCAGCTGCTACTGCGCGTAGGTACGCAGCGCATTGTACGGGTTGATAGATGGCCGGCGTCCGTGAGATATCGCTTGCACCTCGGCTTTGGGGTAACTGTCCGTTTCCACTGTATTGCGTTGTGCCGATAAAATAAGTTAATCATGTGTCCATTTATTGTTAGTATCATCATGTGGTTTCATTTTTATATGCAAATGAATAGTTAATTTAAAACTAAAAAAAAGGGAAGTAATTGTGGTAAATCTAAAAAAAACCACTTAAATCTTAAAAAGATGACCAAAATTTTTTCATTAAATAACTTTTCGGCTCAGGCCTGATGTTTGCATTCCTATTTTGAATGTCTTAAATTTTTTTTTAATTTTTATAATTTCAGCGAATATAAAGCGAACATTGTATAAAAACTCTCATTCTTAGAGACAGACAATTTTTAAATACCTAGTTGACATCTTGATAAGCTGATATTATGCAAAAGACGTGCTCACATTCTGAATAGCAGACATTTTGTGAAAAATACGTTTCAGGAAAATCTTAGGCCTGTTGAGCCAATTTTTCTTTCTTTAATGCTTTTGAATCTTTAAATTCAAAAGTTTTGTAAAATAGTACCTCTCGACCAACTTCCGATACTTCACGGCCTCAAACAGAGTACAATATAATGGAAACAGTCACTCTGACGTCACCACGATTTATTTTCTAGCTGTCAAAATCTAGTGACGATGGTTGAAGATACAACTTTAGTAATGTAAAATAATATTACCTATAGTTTACATTTTAATAAATTAAAGCAATGATCTCTGTGACCATGCCATGACTTGTTGCGGATAGCTTATTTTGAAGCCTTTGCGATAAATTACCTACTTAATTAATTTGCCTTAAATTTTACAACGAAGTTTAGTAAAATAAAATAAAAGTTCCTATAACTTTGATTATTGAAAAGTAAATTAAAGTAAGATTTTGTTGAACAAGAGGAACTTCATTGACGTTCCCCAGAGTTCATAAATCTGTATGGTTTAGACTTAAATTTCGCCTATTCTGCTCAGAAACCGTTACTCCAATAAATTTTAAGGCTCGGACAATGAGTTGCTCCGACGACCCCAGGTTTGTACGTCAAAGCGATGATATATTACGATTTGCTTAAAGGGGACCTTTTTTTTGTTCTCCCAGTAATGGTTTTACTTAATCGACACCAGTGAGACAGGTATACACAATGTTGGGAGTGCGAAAGAGTCAGAAGATTTAGAGTGCATCAGTTCCCGCCAACTGAGGATCATTCAGACAAATGTTTGGTTATAGTCAACAGTTTCTTGTGAGCTCTTCATTGAGATTGTTGTGGATTAAAATCAGTTTTTATTTTTCTATGAATGTAATATTTAGTGCTGAAATGGAAGAAGCCTATTTGCAACTTGGTGATTAACCATCAGAAGGAACAACTATGTAAAAGGATTTCTATGATTGTGGTGCATGTAAGTAATTGTCATAACATTTTGATTTTTCTTGTGTGAGTAATTTGAATAGTACCTTCCCTTCAATTTGACTTTGGTGCAAGGAAAAGCAATTTTATATTCCGTTGTCATGAAATAGTGCCCTCTGTGAAAAATTTTGTGTATCAGTACAGCTCGGAGGCTCTAGCTTCAGAGATGGGAAAACAGTGGAAACTGGAAGGCTTCATAGGGAATAAGTTTATGTTGTTCCGAGAGATGGCGTTACTGGTACCGTTAAGTTTTCTAAAAAAAAAATATTCTTTTGTTTTTATTATTATGTATAAGTTGTCGGTGGTTGCGAGATTATAAAGACTGCTTGGATTTTATGTAAGAGTATAATGTATGTATAAATTAAACTAATATCTTTTATGTGAATAGCCACATTTCCTCACAACGTTTTTATGAAGGCCAGTAAGGCCACTAATATTACATTTTTATAGATTGCATTATCGTTGCATTATTTAATAAATCTAACCTAACGTAACGTAAACTCATGGTAAGCAAACCGAAATCGAAAATATTTCATCTGTCCTGCAAAATTTTGCCATAAAAATCCAGCTTGCAATCAGCGTCAACAGCAGCCGCAGTCTGTTGTCCCGTTCCAAATTGCATTGCACATGGCAACATAAATCTGCAAAGAAAGTCGAGTGTTGCCACAACACCTAAATTAATTCCGCCTTGCAAATTTACAGGCTGCGTTTACTTGATACCCGTAATAGTTCGTAGCCAGCTCTGCAGAGGAACTTGTGAATGGGGAAACTTCTTGGTGCTTGTTCTTATGCGATTTTGTGTGGTTCAAGTTGTAGGGAGCAGCGTATTAAAGTTCCTATATACGTAGGTTGACTATAGTCAATATACCATATGACTGCTCAGAGCTGAGTTGCACCACCTAAACTTTGACCGTAACTATAACGAAACCAGTGGTTTTTGTATGGAGTTTGACAGATTTTTGACGTAATTTGTCAAAGCTAAAGTAAGATGGTGGTGCAATCTAGTCTAATTGATAGATTTTATTGGAGCACATAATTTGAGTCCATCATTGGAAAAGCTCACCATCCATACACCTACTTAATGTTGAATGGATCATTCGATAACTACCCAAATAAGATGGCTATAACCGTTAACTATTTTCTAGGTAAAATTACCTGTGTAAGCTCGTCACACTTCTTATTCTTTCTTTGTGACTAATTGTCGCGCACTTACATATTCTCTCGTTTATGACGAATACCTAATCTGATAATACGAATTAGTAACTTCTTATAACTCTGAAAAACGTAGTTTAAGCATTACGATCCGTTATACATCTCGTAGACTTCGCACGCGATGTCGCCGACCAGGATATTAAATTAGTCTCCGAACATTATCACTTTTCTCGTATCATCCTAAAATCTCATCATTTTCCTCACGAAAAGTACTTTGGCTTAGCTTATAATATGATGTTTGCGTTTCTAAGCTTTTAAATCATCGTCACCATCATCTTCAGCCATAGGACGTCGACTGTTACGTAGGCCTCCCCAATGCTTTCCATGTTGATCGGTTGGTAGCGGCCTGCGTCCAGCGTTTCCCTCGACACAAGAGACTGGACACGTGAGTCCAGTTGGTGAAACTCAAAATTAGTATCACTTAGTATTTCGTCATCTCTACACACCTAAGATTTTTACATGGATTTAATCACTTTCACACGTGTGTACTGGACACACGTCTCACAACACACACTCTTGTGCCAAGTTGGTGAATAGCCCAATAATTTATTCGCAATTGGATAAAGGTAGCCTGATAAAGGTAGCAGGAAGGCACTGGATGCAGACCGCTACCAACCGTGCGATGTGGAAGTCATTGGGGGAGGCCTATGTTCAGCAGTGAACGTCCTGTGGCTGAAATGATGATGATGATGAATTGGATAAATAAACTTCAAATACGATATAATAAATAAGCACGATAGGAGAATTTTTTCCCGCGCGCATTTTATTGGGCAGACAGATGTTGGTAACTGCACCCATTCTGGTCAGACCCCTCTACTATAGTTTAGTAACGCTTGAAGTTTAACTACGGCATAGTTGTTTAAATATGTGCTAATATAATCGGGGCAAAGACAAAAGTTTTCATTTCGCGTAGCACGTGCGCTATAAGACAAGGCAGCTGCTGGAAATGTGAGGTCTATAAACTCTTTTTACTGCTGTGTATGATCTGTATTGCGTCTCTCAGATACTTGCTGCGAAGAACATAACTCTTGAAGAGATTTGCTGGCTGTATATAATCGGGGAATATCTAAAGGCAACGATACACAATCTCGATCTACGTCCATATACATATTTGATTTATGAATTACAAATCAGTCATTGGTAAAAGAGCATAAGTTAATGGATTTTTAAATGATAACTCACTTAACTTTGTGGATTTACAATTTTCTCTATATTACTTAAGAACAAAATTTAATTTGTGAAGTATTTTGTCCACATACGAAAGCTTTGAAAGCTAAAACACCACAACCTGTATACGAGGTAGGGGCAAACAGATGACAAATACGCGCGTTAACGCCTCTGTCTGAACTGCTGCCAACGTTGATGCGATTTTGTATCAACTCTTATTTTAGTGGATTTATAATTTTCTCTATGTTACTTAAGAACAAAATTGAATTTGTGCAGTCTTTTGTCTACAAACGAAAGTTTTTATAAAACACCACACCCTGTATACGAGGCTGGGGCAACCAGATGCTACAAATGCGCGCGTTAACGCCTCTGTCTGAACTGCTGCCAGCGCTGATGCGATCGTATCGACTTTTATAGAATCAAGGTTCTGCTTTCATAATCTAGGTTTTGAAATGGTTTAGAATCAGATTTTCAATGTTTGAAAATGAGTATTGATAGTGTTAGACTGAGTTATTGAATTAGCTTTAACAAAAGTTTGAGTTTCATTTCTTTACAGGTTTAATGCGTTATTAGGAAATGAAAGGAACAAAATGTCAAGTCTCTGAGTGTACCAATATCATACGTCTACTTTCTGAATAAGTGATTGTAAGTCCTGTAGACCTGTCTTTCTTTTATCTAAGTTTTAGCTTTATTCTAGAAATTTTTCCATACACAAATTTTTAAGTGACTTTGCCAGCATAAAAATACCAAAACGTTGCAATGAAAGTGTTGATTTGAGCAGCTATTTGCACTGTTTTATGGTAATTTTACGAGCGCCATAAAATTTTCGGTCCAATTAAAGGCGGGATTATTTATTTTTTATGTTCCAGCCGGTAATCTGGTTTCGAAGAAACAAAAGAACACGCTATCAGTTTGGTTTTACGATAGGAAAATCACATTGTATCAGAAATGATCCAGTATAGACGTCAAGAAAATATTATTTATAGTAAATTCATGAGGATCCTGCTTGAACAGTTTTTTTTTCATTTTTCCTGAAAAAAATAATATACGGGCAGGCAGCAATGTAAACAAAATTTAAAAAAAAACAAAACACTGGCTGAAAATAAAGAACTTAAAATAACAGAAGCACCACACATAATGTTTACGGGGTTCGTTGCCCCCGTCTGTGACAATTATGATCCTAGCTAGGGGTCGGTCCCTGAGTTAGCCACTCCGGAATCTGCGTGGCCAGCATAACCTAGCCTCCCAGACCCTCGAACCCCCTTTAAATATGTATCACCCCGGCGGGTCTTCATAAAACAGTGAATGTGCGAGGGAGCGTGCCGCATGTGTTAATGTCTTTTTTAATGCTTCGCACTCGACGCACCAGGGCCGGATTAACCAACTCGGGGCCCCTAGGCACAGCTCGTTTCGGGCCCCCCACAAAACCGCAATTTGGATTTTTTTTCTGTCTACATTACGAAATAGAATGAAAGTACCATCATCATCAACAACAGACTTCAGTCATCACATTGCAAAGGTATTATACGCCTTCCTTCAAGTGAAAAGACTTTCGCCACTATCTATCTAGTAGGTACAGCACGAAGTATCGGAGTCATTTAAAAATGAAACAAAGAATAGGAAAATCTTGCATATTTTTATAAAACTAACATAAACATTAAAAAATAAAAATGTACATAAAGTCATGTAAACCAAAGCAGTAATGCCAACTAGGCCAGTAGAATAAGACATGAAAATCAATCAAATCGGAAATAATTCCTACAAAAGGTTTTCTTGTTTTAACTAGCGTTTGCCCGCGGCTTCACCCGCGTGAAATTTCGTTTGTTACAGATCGTCATAAATTATAGCCTATAAATGTTATTCTGGGTTTTAAACAATAATACTGTAAAGATTCATAAAAATCCGTTCAGTAGTTTTTGCGTGGAAGAGTAATAAACATCCAGACATCCAAACTTTCGCATTCATAATATTAGTAGAATGGTTTCATTTGTTGCTCTTTAAGACTATCCAAATTTTTCGACTTCAACCGAGTTGTGCGTAAGTGGTGTAGCCACATCAACAACAACAGGTTCATATTAAAACGCTGAAGAGTTTGTTTGTTAGTTTGTTTGAACGCGCTAATCTCAGAAACTAGTGGTTTGATTTAAATAATTAGTTTTGTGTGTACTAGCTCGTAAATTGAGGAAGGTTATAGGATATATACCATCACGCTACGACTAATAGGGACGAAGCAGTAAAGAAAAATGTTGCAAGCAAGGGAAATAGTATTCAAACTATTTTCACGCGTATGAAGTTGATTTTGTGGCGTCGAACCTTGGACCAGGCGTACGGCTAGGCAACGCAGTCGTGCAGTAGGGTGCAAGGAAGAGTGGCAGCCATAGTAGATAACACAGAGTCGTTCAGGAGAGTGCAGAAAAGAGGTGCAGCAACCGTAGTTACGGATGAAGGGGGAACACGAATCCAACTCGTGAGGCTTGACAGGGATACGCTGGTTGAGGCGGCCCTTTTCAAGGTTTGGGACCCTGCGGGTATATTTTCTTTCTACTTTGTCGAAGATAAGCACGATAACAGTTTGTCAAAAACATATGAATTTGGTCTTATTCAATGCAGGAT